CACCCCACCAATTTCACCCTCGGCGGCAAACTCCTCAATCATTCTAGCCGATGACATGCGATCCGGTCCCAAGGACAGGCACAACCAATGCACCGACTGTCTCGCCACTCTATCGGAACTGCCTGCTCTCTTTGGACCCGACAACTCTACGTGCAAAGTCGCGGCGCCATCGACCACTCGCCGACAGCAAGAAATGTGTTCTCTGGGAAAAGAAAGCCGATAGACTACATAATAATTCACCCAGGAGCGACTCCCACTCGAGGTTTCCCGAAGAGATCGTGGTCGACAGCTGTTTCGCAAAATATAGAGAACCTTATGCGACAACGCCTGTGCTTTCTGGAGCATACGGTATGCACTCCTCGCCAGCAAATTGGTGGACCGTTGTCCGTGCAAGGAGAAAGAGTCTTGTATCTTCCGGCAGCTATCGGGGAAGCAGAGGTACCACAGGGACGGGCAATATTTGGCATACCCCATTGCCCAACTATGGCGGACCCAAGGATATGGAAGTAGCACCCCCTCCATGCAGCGAACACCAAAAAGCCGCGAACGTCCCAGAAGGAGAGTCTACATGTGCAAAAGTTTGCTGTAGCGAGATACAAAGGGAAGAACCGGCTGTTGTTGTTACTTCGATCCTCGACTGGGGAAACGATTCCAGTCCACGGCTACAAGATACGAAACGGATTCGGGCCGCCCGGTGGAATAGAAACGCCACCTACGGTTGAAGCGGGGAACCGTTTCTGTGCACGCCAGCAAAATCTGCTACTCGCCTATATGTCGGAAAGAAAGACGATAGAGAAGTAGAATTGCTCGCTTCCTGACCTTGGCGAGAATAGGTTCTATGGGTCCTGCACCACAGGGCTAGGAGAGTAGACCCTCCAACAGCTCGCCTAGTATTTTTGCAGATGCAGTCGCTGGCTGGGGTTGCAAGGCGAATGGAGTCGTACATTTGTTCAGGGCCCGCTTTCAGTATTCCAACTGCTTTTCGTGGAAATCGTAGGTAACGGAAAGTATACCCTACTACATTACTTTTTCCCCAAAGCTGCATGCCACTCTCTACCTCCATATGGAAGGGATCCCCACGTTTGGTCTTGGATGTTTCTACCTTCTCTGCCCGGTGTGTGGAGGGGGTGCGAAGGAGAGGAAACTGGTTTGCTGTGCTTCCAGGTCTTGTACACAACCTTCCAGAGAAAAACGGCCGGCTAGCAAAGGTAAGGTCCACCTTTGGGCTGTTTCTAGCATCTGCCGCACCTTCTGGATATCCAGGCGGGTCTAACTGCTGTATTCCTCCTCAGGCGTTTTCTATTTCTCTTCTCCATTAAGGTCCTTGTCCTTTACCCGACAAGATGTCGACCAACAAATTTGTGGCTTGCTCCCGCGAAGAGCGACTAGCGATATTACGTGGTTTTGCTCCGCACGAGCCGACATCGCCGCTGTTTGCTCCCACACGAGCCTCTAGCCTCCCAAGCGTCGTGGAAGTCCTGGATGGTGAGAGCATGATAAAACTCTGCAGCAGGCAATATATGCTGCTGGTAGGCCGGCTCGCTAAGGGGCAAGATGGCATGAGCAGCAAAGCTGCTATTGGTAGGCGTTAGCGCTAAGCGGCAGGCAATGTGTGTACAATGCTGAGGGGCCAGCGCTTCACTCTCCGGTGGTGCGCTAGGCCCAGTTCGATAGCTGTGCTGGCCAGCAATATCGCCCGATGCTTTGTTGAGGCTCTACAGCGGGCTCTACGCTCATATGTCGTAGAGTCGCGTGGACCCAATGCGAGGCGCTTTTGACTTTCGGCTTGCTGGGAGCACCTCGAAAGGGGAGCGTGATATCTTGGATCTTTTCTCCGGAAGACAAAATCTCTTCTTGGTGGCATGGTTGGTTTTTCCTGGGAATATATACTCCATACTTCCTACTTGTCTATATGCATCCCTAATCCTCTCCCAGGAATCCCAATCCTCCCAGGGAATCCCAATCCTCCCCAGGAAACTCCTAGCAATGCTTAGCGGAATGCTTAGCAAATGCTTAGCAATGCTTAGCAATGCTTAGCAAATACTAAGCAATGCTTAGAAATGTAGCAAATGCTTGGCAAAGACAAGCAAACTTCTGAGTTCTGTCTAGTGTGCCCTGAAAGTTTGTCTGAGTGTGCCCTAGTTTTGCCTAGTCTGCACCTAGTGTGCCCTAGTTTCCCATATAGACAATTTTTTTGCGACTGTAGATATATAGTACAACCAAATGCCTCCAAAAGACAACTATCACGGCTACCAAGTGGAGGAAGATTAAGCAAGATGCGTGGAAAAGTCCCAGCACAAGAAGCGGGAGAACGATTCGGCATCGGTTTCCAATCGACTACGCAAAATATGGAATACGGCCTCTGGAACCGTCTACCAGCACCACTGGAGAGATAGCTCCAAATCGGCGTCAACCCCAGCACAGGCTGGCGGTGCCTGCCGCGCTATCTGCGCCCTTCTCGGAGACATCTGCCCGGCGGCGTATTTGCCAGCCAGCGAGCCGTATCTACCAGCAGCATAGTGCCTGCTGCAGAGGGACGACTCTTCTCACCATCCAGGACTTCTAATAAGGCAGGGCAGGCTAGAGGCTCGTGTGAGCAAACAGCAGCGATGTCGGCTCGTGTGGAACCAAACCCACTTGAATCGTTGCCGGCTGCGTGGTAGGTATAAACCACGAATTTGTTGAGTATCGACATCTTGTGCGATTGCTGGACAAGGAGACGGCGAGGAAGAGGAAATAGAAAGCGTCGAGGGAGGAACAAGAGGAGTACCCTGTCTGGATATCCAGAAGGTGCGGCAGATGCTAGAAACAGCCCAAGGTGGACCTACCTTTAAGCTAGCCGCTACTTTTCTCTGGAAGGTTATTATTACACAGACCTGGAAGCACAGCAAACCAGTTTCTCCTTCGCCGCACGCCTCCACACCGGCAGAGAAGGTAAGAAACATCCAAAGACCAAAGCGTGGGGATCCCTTCCATATGGAGTAGAGAGTGGTATGCAGCGTTTTGGGGAAAATAATGTAGTGGGTATGCCGTCGACGCCACGATTTCCCGCGAAAAAGCAGTTGGAAATCAGAAATGGCCTGGATTGAAGTGTCGACTCCATTAGCCTTTGCAACCCCCAGCCAGCGACTGCATCTGCAAAAATACTAGGACGAAAGCTGTTGAGGGTCTACTCTCCCTAACCCTGTGTGCGCAGGACCCATAGAACCTATTCTAAGCCCAAGGTCAGGGAAGCGGCAATTCTACTTCTCTATAGCGCTCTTTCTTTTTCCGATATAGGCAACGTAGCAGATTTTTGCCGGCGTGCACCCAGAAAGCGTTCCCGCACCAACCGTAGAAGATTCTATTCCCACCGGCGGCGAATAGTTTCTGTATCTTTAGTAGCCGTGAACTGGAATCGCGTTTTACCCAGTCGGGATCAAGTAGCAAATTAACAGCCGGTTCTTCCCTTTGTATCTCGCTACAGCAAACTTTTGCATTATGTAGACTCCTTCTGGGATCGTTAGCGGCGACTTTCGGTAAGTTACGCTGCATGGAGGGGGTGCTACTTCCATATCCTTGGTCCGCCATAGTTGGGCAATGGGGTATGCCAAATATTGCCCCTGCCCCTTGTGGTACCTCTGCTTCCCCGATAGCTGCGGGGAAGATACAAAGACTCTTTCTCCTTACACGGACAACGGTCCACCAATTTGCTGGCGAGAGTGCATACCGTATGCTCCAGAAAAGCACAGTAGCGTTGTCATCGTACAGGTTCTCTATATTTCTTGAAACGGCTGTCGAAGCTTAATACAGGTCTAACCGGGAACCTCAGGTAAATCAGCTCACCTGGGTGTAGTCTATCGCTTTTCCCAGAGAACACATTTCTTGCTGTCGACGAGTGGTCGATGGCGCCCGCACTTGCACGTAGAGTTGTCCGGTCCAAAGAGAGCAGGCAGTTCCGATAGAGTGGCGAGACAGTCGGTGCATTGGTTGTGCCTGTCCTGGGACCGGATCGCAGTCATCGGCGAATGAATGATTCGGAGTTTGCCGAGGGTCAGAAATTGGTGGGGTGGGTAGATGTAGACGAAATGCGACCATTTTGCCGCTTCTACTTCTAGTGGGCGCAGCACAGCAAATAGAGTTCGAGAACTGTTTGGGGATCTGGTAGCTGCTCGTGAAGGTGTGTCCCGATTGCTCCAGGATTTGTTTCTCTCGGTCGGAAAGCAACATGGGGCGACACTTCTGCAGCAGGGCCCAGCTGGCTGAAATTCGCACTTTTACTTAGGTCCAATGTTGTCAGCAAGGGCCACTCTAAGTTGTCGTGACATGGAAATGTGCTGTCCAGAGGTGACTTCCTCTTCAGAAATTCTTAGTCAGCAGGGTATTCTTCTGCTGAGGTGATCATGACTGATGGCTCTGGCCTTGAATTTGCATCTCGAAGAAGCCGTTTAGTTGTAGGAAGCGCAAACACTTCTCCTTGCTATGATAACCCCTTTATTAAATCTCCAAACAGCTTGAGAGCTTCAGATAACTCCTTTTATTTAACCAAACTTCAGCTCATGTGTGGGGATTCAAATTGATTTTAGAACTTGATGGACTGGGAGGATGTCAAGCTCCCCTGAGTTTACCAGGGCCTCTGCTGGTCTGTCCAATACATAAGCTGTGATCACAATAGGTGTCACTGGTTGTTTCCTGCCTTTTCTTAACTATCATAACAGACCGCAAATGATGAAGATGAGCAGGCATCACATCTGGTGACAAAGGAACACAGAGAATCTATGCATGCACAATATTGATCATTGGGATCGGGATGAGACATCAATTTGTCACATTTACCACAGTTCTTTGTGCCCAAAGGTGAGGAAGAGATATCCTTAGTGCCCTTAGGTTTACCCATCATATAATCAAATCACAAGTTTCTGCAAATAAGGCAATCAAGGGTTAGACGGACATCTTCATAAGAATTATACTTCATGTCAAGTCATATTCCATTGAAAATGCAAAAGTTTTATCGCACTAACCTGAAATACTGTCAGATAGCTTTGTCTTAGTTTCCTTCAGGTCTCTCAAAGCATCCTCAAGTTCCTTCACAAAATTTGTGCTCAATGTTGTCATACCACCCTGCAATGAGGAAAAACACATTTTGGCACAAGACATCAAACCATTTCATGCTATCTATCCAAAATAGATCAGCTCTGTAGATCAGCTTAACAAGACACACAAGACAGGGGAGACAGCCAAAGCTTAAGGAATCGTACTGAATGCTTTCAGAGTTATGCTTGAACTGAAATGATTATGGACAGATGTACAGACAGAGGATGCAGCAACTATCCTGCAAATAATGCAGAGTGATATGAAGGTCATCCTAATTTAGCATAACTAACTCTTGATGGTTCAAAACACACTAAACATCGCTTGTTTTGTACAATTTCAGCAGGGCTTTCAGTAACAAAATAAATTAAAGTATAGATGGCAAATATAATGAATTACCCTGTACTTCTCATACTTCCTCAACAATGCCTTCACAGTGGCATGGCTGTGTATCTCTTCAGAATCAATGGCATATTTCAGCTTGATGTTCTCGTCAAGACTGAGAAATAGGAGTTAAGACATGAAAATCAGTTGTGACTAACAATAACTATTCAATGGCTTGTGCAATATTTCTGTTAAGCCTCACTGACATGTATGGAAAACTTTTTACGTCTTTAGGAAAGCCTTTACAGCAATACAAACCATTCAATATTTCCACTTGAAAATTAAACAATAGTTATCTTCCTTGTGTATCATTAAAGAATGCTACTTCTATTACATCATATCTATTATTTTTGTGTGCTGGTGGTACTCACACTATAAATCCTAAGATTTTCAACAGATGTTTCGCTTCACATAGAGTTACTGATTAATCCAAATGCAGTCAGCATAGTTCACCCAAAACATACAGCACATACACAAAGCAGAATAAATATCACTTCCTTTCCCCCAAAATAGAATATACTTGATGCCTGTTATATTGGGAAGTAAAAGGACATTTACACAGTATAACTGTTGTATCCAATTTGTTGCATGAAACACGTAGAATCATGTGAAGATGCAAGATGGTCCAACTTGCTGGATATAAGTTATAAAAACTTGTCACATGCACTATTCATGCATACACAAGTTTCCCACAAGCCGCCATTCAAAATGTGTACAGATTCACATGATATTTACTCTGGTAACGTCTGTCAGACCAAAGTTTCACCACTCAGTGATGGACCTATGGATAGTAGATAGAATGAACCTGTAACAAATTGTATTTTTCAACATGTCTGCCGGTCTAATTGTCTAGATCAAAGACGTATATACGTCTTTGCCTAGATTAAAATTTTCACAGAGTTTTTTTCAAACTACAGGCTATGTAACTGTTTATTGTAGGCCTAGATCAGATTAGGTCCTAGTACCCTTTTATAACTCAAAAGGCATCAAGCATTTCAATAGGCCTAGATCAGATTAGGTCCTAGTACCCTTTTATAACTCAAAAGGCATCAAGCATTTCAATACACTTTACAGTTTTGCATTCTTACGGAAAGTGTCTGTAATGGTATGCCATGAACATATATCTTAGGCAAAGCATAAGTACTATAAATGCCATATAGAAACCCATTTTGTCATTTTACCAATGCCCCATTTTCAAGCTAATTGTTTATTCAAATGACCAATGGCTACACACCCCTCCCCCACCCACCCTCTAAATCTAATAACCCTATAAACCTTTCCGAAAGGTCAAAAGAACACTGAAGTGAACCTCCATGTTGAACAGTGTTTACAAAATCATCATGCCTTTCACATGACATATATTTGACACTCACCTACCATACATACAATCAATTCATCATACTATCAACAATTAATTTACCAATTGTCTAAGTTACTAAATCAAATTGTTCAAATTAATTTGGAAGAGATGATCACAAGTGGAACCAATCCTGCACTCTGAAACCTACCCGTGTGCCTCATAGGCCTAGTTTAATGTATTGACATTATATTCTTTATTAAGATTATATGATTATATGCATAATACAATAATCATTGCAAATTTTGGGAGCAAAATTGTGTCCACTGAGGAAAGCATTCATATGTCGTTACACTTAGTCCCAAGGATAGAATGAGAAACATAAATAGAAACATGTTGATTTCTGAATGATTCTGATTACTTGGCACATATGTATAAGTGAGCCCTGCATCAACGAAAATATTACTCTGAACTTCCCTCTCACTGACATCAGTAAATACACTACCAGCTACCAGTAATGATGTCACATATTAAACATCACTTCATTGTACATAAGGGGGCAGTGGGGTAGTCAAATGGTTAAAGCGTTGGCTCGTCACGCCGAAGACCCAGGTTCGATTCCCCACATGGGCACAATGTGTGAAGCCATTTCTGGTGTACCCCACCATATTGCTGGAATATTGCTAAAAGCGGCGTAAAACCAAACACACCCATTGTACTTTTTTTTTGTCAGGTGCAGGTGATTCATTCAATATCAGCATAGTTATGCCCTTTTCTTTGCTAATCCAGACCTCTTAGCCACATACACCATACACAACCACACAATTCTAACACATCATTTTGCCGTCTAGATAATTCTGTATTTTGTTCACTCACAGTTCACATAAACCTGGCAAACAAATACTTTTTCTTCCACCAACTTTAGTGATGTTCAGGAAAACATATTTATCAACACCGAAACACTGTGATTTAGCATGGTTTCAACTGACCAACAGGATTTAGAATACTTTGAAAGTGAAGGGGAACTTTGTAGATATTCATAGTGTGATGGTAGAATTAACGGCAGTAACATAAAAGAGAAATGTAATCATAACAATTACTAATACTAGTTAGTGATAGGCTAGTTCTAAAATGACTTATGATATAATTATGTTCTAATGATGTCTAGAAGACATATGACAAAGGTATTCAAGGATACAGCTCCTTGTATCTTCTTTGGTATTCCAGCAAAGTCTTTCTCCGTGTCTGTAACCTCAACTACAAAAGAAATTAAAGTGTACATTTCAATATCTCTGTTACACATGTCAACTGAAAAAAGACGCATGAACATAACAATAGCTTCAATATCACATTTAAAAAGTTTAGTGTAACTGCATGTAGCTCATCTGGATAAAAAGTCATCAGTGAAAATGTCAACAAAGACAGCTACTCTGAGCTCCAGATAGAAGCTGTAGTTTCAAGAAGTGTACCCATATGTCTTTATAGTTCTTTATTTACGATATTTATCAAAGGCGTCACCTATACTGTAAAGCTCTCTGTCTGGTTTAAGGTACTTTGCTGTTGTGAGCTTATGTGTCTCCTGACACTTGAGGCAGAACATGAACATTACTGCAAATTACAAGTTACCAAAAACAACATTTCAGTAGAACTATTTCAGAAGATGTTCACTGATTGGTAAGTAAAATGCATAATTCTGATTGATGTGTCAAAGCACCCTGGATATGGTTTGTGTGACTCCTAAGCTTTAAAATGTTAAGAGGCTAAATGGTGGAGAGACACTGTTAGTATGTCATGAAAAAGAACAAGTAATTTTTTGCATGCAAAGTAGATTCAAAGTGAAATGCAGTTGGTAAACATTTGGGTATGTCAATTCATTCATGTCAGAAAACAGTGAGGATAAAGCAAATGTACGCATTATTTTAACACCACCTGAAACCAAGGGCAATTTTTTAAATTTTGGAACAGACAGGCAATCATTCTCTAGCATATTGGAATGCACATGTAAAACATGTACATGTTTTTCTCACAGTGTCTCAAAACTACAAGGTTGCATGAACTGTTCATATAACCCCTCAGGAAAATCCTATTTTCCTTATATCTATATGGGGTACCACCTTCTTTTTTGGAGAAAAAGGAAAAAAAGATGGATTTGCAAGCATGCATAGAAAATGTTCCTTCTTGAAAATGTTTCCTTAAAATGTTAAGAATACATCATGTGGATTCGACACTGTAGGAGGGTCTTGTCCTGTGGCCTTGAAAGCTCTAAGAATCACTCTTCTCATCCAAAAGGATATAGCTGTTCGAGAGACAAATGTAAATATATGGCGAGACAAATATTTTCATAAACTTTCTTCTTCTCAAAGACATTATTTGCAGATAAATGTAAAGATGTAAAGTAGTAATACTGGAAAATTCAATACATCTTCTGTATCTTCCTAAAACGATTTTAGAGCTGGGATGTGAAAACAGGTACTGTAAATCATGAAATTAATGCGTCACAAGTTTAATGCGAGTGCGAGGGTCTAGTCTAAAATGCGTACGAAATTAATGCGAGCTCAGGAATCTGTGTCTATGATAAAATGTGACACCCTGAATCTTTGTTGTTCATTTTTCTTTTCACACTTATTACCAAATAACCTGAATTGAGCTTGTTAAGCAATGAATGGAAATGAGCTGACGATGTTTTGATTACGTGATTGCTTGCTGCTACTTGTCTTATGACAACATTTATAAACATAATCTGATTTGAAAGACGCAAGTCATCTACCAAGGTACAAACAACAAACAAGTGGCTGGAGAATGTCCGGTCTGAATGATGTGCTTGAGTGACTTTAAACACTGACCAGTGATTGTAACCAGTGATAATTACATGTGGCTTGAGATACCTGTAATGAGGAAGTGACCTGTATTGGTGTAATGTGTACCGTCAACACTTTCGCTATTGTTACATAATTTGCTGATGACAAATGAAACATACAACTTTATGGATGACAACTTCTGGTTTATTTGCATTGAGCGACGTTTTGATGTAGATTCTTACATCGTTATCAAGCTAAAAGTGAGTACAACCAAATGGTGAGGAGCATATACACATGGTATGTTGTCACAAGCAGCAGATTAACATTAACAACAGCATGTAATAGAATAGAATAGCATGTCGTCCTCAGAAAAGACCAAGATCCCACCTCACTACTCCAGACCTCAACACCCAACATTCCAGGATCAAGTTCACCATGGAGACAGTGAACAACAACAAACTCCCCTTCTTAGATGTCCTTGTTTCCAGATACAGGATAATAATAATAATTAGTCCATTTATATTGCGCTAAATCCACACCGACAGCATGCTCATAGCGCAGACAAGATAGAATTTAGGAGTCATTTTAAAAACATAGAGAAAACGTATGTCTTTAGGTTTGATTTGAAACATGTGACTGTTGGGCTTGTTCTAAGGTGAGCTGGTAGCTCATTCCAGTTCATCGCGGCCGCCACTTGAAAGGAACGAAAACCATAGGATTTCAACTTCCATTTTGGAATGTGAAGTAAGTTTTTGTCACTGGAGCGAAGCTGTCTGCATGGAAGATATGGTTTGAACAGTTCTTTTAGATAGGCTGGAGCAGTGCCTAGTATGCACTGGTAGACGAGGGTTAAAACTTTAAAGTTCACTCTAGCTCTAGGATCCAAACAAGATCCAAACCACAGTCTACAGAAAACCCACCCGTTCCGACCAGTACATTCATTTCAACTCTAACCATCCCCCTAAAACCAAGTCTGGTATCATCTCAACCCTGACAAGGCGCGCCAAGAAGATTTGCTCAGCAGCGATGACCTAGAGCATTAACTTAACCACCTACAACATGTCTTCACCAACCTCAACCAGTATCCCACCAACCTAGTCAAGAGGACCATCTCCATCACACTCCAGGACAAACCCAAAATGACGAAGCATGAAGCCGCCCCCATTAGGATTACCCTTCCTTATATTGGCAAGCCTCCCACCAAATCAACAGACTTCTCAAGCACAAAGCAGGTATCGACACCATCTTCTCTGGTTCTCCAACCCTCAGGACCATTCTCCAGGCCAATGGCCGTAATCCACCCTCCACTAAGCAACCCCCCAAAGGAGTGATTTACAAGATTAACTGTGAATGTGGTGATTCTTATATAGGTGAAACCTCCCGTCCCATTGACGCCCGCATAAAATAACACAAAACCTCTACAGCTAAGGCAGACAGCAAATCAGCCCTCTCAGATCACCAGCAAAAGTTCCCTACCCATCAAATCAAGTTTGACGAATTCGAAGTCCTATCAACCAATAATCAGGACTTCACAAAAAGAAAACTGTTGGAAGCCATCGAAATCCGCCGCCATAAACCTTTGATCAACCATGACCAAGGATACTACATCCCATCAGCCTATGAAGAACTAATCAAGCTATAGACCATCAATAGCACCCTGTCTATTTGTTGTTACTACTTAATCCCCCTGTTTATTGGCTTCATCACTAGTGCTATTTGTTCTTTTAGTTCCCTACTGGCCTCTTCCAGTTATGTACCACTTGTTATTTCTATTACATGCTGTTGTTAATCTGCTGCTTGTGACAACATACCATGTGTATATGCTCCTCACCATTTGGTTGTACTCACTTTTAGCTTGATAACGATGTAAGAATCTACATCAAAACGTCATCAAAAGTTTTCATCCATAAAGGTGTATGTTCCATTTGTTGACTCACCAACTTCTAGAGTGCCGATCAAACAATTAATTTGCTGATGAATAAGTTCAATTAGTGTCATGAAAATAGTCCTCATTTGTCAATTACCTTTATGAGAGATGTCTAAATTAAGTTATATTATGTATTAGTATGATTAATGTTAACCTGAAGACGATAGAGACGACAAGAGATTTTCGTTTTGTCTTATATTAAGTTCTGAAATGTGTCATTATAATAATGCGAATATGTGTGAGAAATCCAAGGTATTATCAACGAGACTGTAGATCAATATCACACTCGAGACGAAGATGGAGATAAAGTACTAAAGATAAATGAACAATTGGTTTTTCGAATGACTCATGTGCAGTATTCGAGGCCACACAATAAAATATTCATCCCAGAAAAAGAAAGAAAGACTAAAATTAGAAGAAGAATACAATGAAACACTTGAAAGTCTTGAAGTAAAATTAGACAGTACTGACAGTGAACAGACTAAGTCAAAATTGATACAAGAAATTAATATATCCCACCGTAACATGAATTCGGCATTCTCCTGTTTTCGGCGATCGTACTTCTCGCGTGATTTCACCCGAACGCGCACAAGGTCACGGGTCAGTATGCAAATTTCCTGAAAGGAGGTCACGTCAACTCGCTCCGTGAAAAAACTTTTCAATAATGGAAATCAGGAAGGTAATAATAACAAAAAAATAGCAGTACCTAAATAATAACATGAATTTTCTTAATACTTTATTTTACCTCATTATAAAGCTGTGTAAATAAGGTAAATGAGCCGACTATCAATCTTCGTTTGCATCGTCTGCTAGCCGATGATGTTTGTCAACATTATATCACGTGACTTGTGACGTAAGATGCCACTCGATTAAAAAACTACGAAAACATTTTCGGGCCATCCTTATCCATAGCATGTCGTGTTTTCAACTCAACGTTAACTCCTGTTAACATTTTGTCATCTTTCACAAAATCAGGAATCTTCCCCTGCAACCCCGAAGTGATTGATGACTTGGCTGTAATGCCGGCCCGATCTTTCTCTAGACCGACACCCACGGTTTCAAGTTCAACAGGTACGCTCGTACAGGACACCGACGACAGACTGGATACTGCAAGGACATTCTTGGAATGTCGGGGTGGAGAAGTTTTGAGAAATGTTCAAACATACAAGCCAAGGAACACCATCAGTAAAATCATTGGCGGGAAAGTCATCACAGATCAGGCAGTTGTTGACAGGATAGCCAGGCACAAGAAACGGCATCCAGAGAAACGGAAGGCTGATAAGGAAGTCGGCAAGGGGAAGAAGAAGTCAAGCGGCACTACATCGTTGTCAACATCGTCCCTGTTGTCTAAAGGGAATTCTGCCTAGAATAAGTCAAAAGGGAAAGGACCTGCATGCAAGAAACGCAACGCTCAGCCCCCCATCAACAACCTTCTCAGACAGTTTTCCGACAGTGCAACTGATGACGACGAAGTACGCTGTGTGAGCGGAAAATTTACACCCGATCCATTGCATCGTTGTGACTCAATCACATTTGTGAAATGGGCACAGTGTGACAAATGTGGTCACTGGGTTCACCTTGTCTTTTGTACAAGTGTCACCGTTTTATGTACACATGCAGCATTTTTCTGTCCCCACTGTGATCACAGCCCAGTGGAAGAGTGAACTGCATTCATAAACTGTCATCAACAGTGTATATAACCTGTTTGGATTTCATCATTATCTGTGCTTGAAATTGTTGAACTGACATTTTATTTTAACTCTTAAAGATTGACAAGAGACTAGAAGACACGAATTTGCCTTGATGAATTATATCCACATTGGAACACCAGAGATATTCTGTGTATAAAACTGCGCCGAAAACTGGTGGAGTAATGCTAAAGTTGCCAAATATAGAACGTTATGGTCATGGCGGCCTTGCTCAACCGACGAAGCCGAGAGAATCATAAAAAAAGTAAGAGGAAACACCTTGGCTAACGTACTTTGTCTTGAATGTAAAATATTTTTATTACGATAGCATGGTTACATATGTACCGCAACTTGCTGTTACGTCGCCGAAAACAGGTGAAACTGGGATAATAAAAGATCAGCAACTTGAATTAAATAAATACAAAACAGAAGGGATTATATTGGATTGAGATTGTATAACCTGCTTAAATCATGCTGTTAAGCAAGTCTCGGAATTCACCAAATATCAAAAAAAAATTTGCCTTGATGTCATCAGCTTGTTGGGTTTTTTTTCAAGAGAAGCCCTGTGGTGATTTTTGTTGTGATTTTAGACAAAGTATTGAAGAAATATGTGCTTGTGTTACAGATTTGTCTTTTTTAAGAGTTCAAAGGGTGATCTTCTCTAAATGTTTTGGATCTTTTCAGATTCGCAGTGTTGCCACTGTATCTGATTCCTGCATTGCAAATTTGACATATTGCCATAAACATTTCCTGTACAGCTGGCCGACTTTTTTAGCGTGTATAAATTGAGCGATTTTCGTTTTCGCCTTCCCGCGAATGCTGTCGCCTTTCCAATTAACATAAACAATGGGAGAGCGAATGTTTGTTGAAGTCCCTTCCATGCATGAACTGGCGATGTCGACAACAAAACAACTAGTTCATTTAGATATTTGATTAAATGTAACATGACAAATTGTGCCTTTTTTCTGACAAACAATAACAAATTTATTCACATGTTGTGACGCATCTTCACATATGAAACAGTCATTAAGCAAGTTTCAGAGCGTACGATGCCCTTTCAGCATACTCGATGACAGAGACGTGCCCGTGTCAAGTCTGGTCTTCAAGTCATCCAGTTTTCGCTGAAGGTCTTGATAGTTCTTCTTTTTAGGAGGGAGACATTGTCCAGTGGTGTATTGAACCAAATGCACTTCTGTTGTCTTATGTTCCTTCATCAGGACTTGAATCAGTTCGAAAATATTCGGGTGGGCTCCAATAACCAACATCATTTGCTTTTCACTTACTAATGTGATACATATAATTTCCAACACAGAGATATCTGCCGCCTCTACAAGTGGAAAGATATTTGTACTTGAGTTGTGCATTCGCCATGATGATAGTGATGGTAAACTTCGAAACAGACCCATTTATAAGAAACTTTAATTGCCTTGCTATCATAGATAATTGATACAAGCTCATGATGACACATACTTATAAAACTAAACGAAAAAAATTTCACTTTTCTCCAAAAACATTCATGATTTATAATGTGTTCACCACTGCAATTTCAACTAGGTAAGTCGATAATCCTTTCGTTAATCCCTCCAACAAACATGACTAAAACAACACCAAACAGTCACCTTAACGTGAATACCTGAAACTAAAAGGTCACCTTAATGCGAATACCCCACCTAATTGTAGATTGGGTTTTGTCTTTTTGAAGCTTGGTAGAACAAAACTGTATTGTGGATCCAATCATAACAATTCACAAAGAGGCGGCTGATAAAAAAGCCATCATTTTCTTTCAATTACTTTCTACCCATTTTTAACATCGGATCAATATCCTGTGAGCTCTTTTAGTAGAGACACCACAGTCAAGATCATTCAGCTCAAAAGATGTGTTGTTTCAGCAGAGATCTAAGAAATACAAATGTTAGAGCCAAGGGACAGACAACAGGACCGCAACATAATGCTAATATTTTCAGTTCAGAGCAAATCTGAGGTTTTTATCTTTCATGAAACTATAATCCTCCTGAAGCCTCAGTGCTGCCTCTGTGGTCAAGTAGGTACAGCATCTGACCAGAGATTCTAATTCTAATTTCCCAAACTATTCCATGGCTGGGAAATTTAAACAAAAATTATTGGAATGACTGACCAGCATGAACCTGTAAATATTCAGAAATGAGGGTGGGGTGATTACAATGTGTGTGACTGTGTATCACTGTTATAATTGTCAATGGTTGGTATTCTGGGTCCAGACTTGAGTATTCACAGGCAATGATGACAAAGCTGGAATACTGCTGACATTAGTAGAACAACATTCCCTCAATGAACTGTGAAATAGAAAACCTTTAAATATATTGTTGTGAATAACAAGATCTGCTTTTGCTATAAAAAATACCTCAAATGATAACCTATTGAGTGAGAGCTCTAACCTATGTGCATAGGCTTACAACCATTCTAAGTCTAAATAGCTCTTGACAAACCTCAGTTATCTTTATTCTTTCTGAACGCTGCTTTTGTAACTGTTCAAGCTTGGCTGCCTGTTTCTTGTCCCTGTATGTGGAGTGTCTACACAACTCATCAGATTTGGAAAGACCAACAGTGAAAGAGACATCATCTGCAACATTATAAAGAAAATAAATAAATTTCAGCTTCAAGCACTGCATAAACTTGTCAGATAAACAGTAGTACTAACGTATAGACTACGTGTGAAATACAGTCAATTCATCCTTTTGTTTATTTCTTCATTCATTCCAGCTCGGTTTTATTAATTTCTTGTTCTGAACACCTGTTCTGAATACATCCTATAATCCTATAGCACAGACTAGACAACTTGTTCAAATACAGTTCAAACATACTACTTTCGAAGACGAAAGTCAAAAAGGATGCAAAGGATGATTGACTGCAACAGAAATTAGAAGTAAATATATTGTCTACAACTGTGGCTTATCAAAATGGGCAATAAGCATAAAACACATTTATCTGTTGAGAAATGAAAGTCTTTTCATAACATTTTGTATCACCTCTACACACGAGGTCCTTCTACATTCTACTCTGCATGATATCTGCATGAGCAAGTGACACTACATGCACAACTGAATTAGAGTGACCTCCCATGGTCTAGTGAGAATTACATAAAGCGCTCGTAAAATACTTGATCATTTTGGCCTCAACAACTAACATAGTTGTGTTGTGTTGTATCATTCCACAGTAGAAAATGTGATCATTCGTAGGCCAATCTTCATTTCACATAATATGACTGCAAGTTTTGTACTAATGACTTTTCCTGCAGTCCTATATTATGTGATAGCATAAATATGCAGAAATATGATTTGTCACATTGCACGGTTCAACAACTGTTTTTATGACATATGGTTTTCCACCATATTCATTGGCCCACAAATGGTCACACATAATTCAACAGAAACAAATACTTACTCCATGTCAGTAATATTAGTATGCATTTTAATATATTAAAAGAAACAAAACTGAAGTGGGGAAAAGAGATAACTCCTGACAGATGAATGCCATCATTTAAAAAACAAAATTTTGTGTCAGATTTCAATCAGCAACAACAAATATTTCAAACAGCTCAGTAACATTGATGTAATATTCTTAATATTCAAGAGAGTGTATATTTCTTAATTAGTCTGCAGGACATGGATCCACATAGAGACAAACAATGTATCAGACTTCATGAGAATCCGCAATCATGAATCATTTCCTTACACCCCTGATACCTCTGTTTCATGGGCGGCCATGCAGCTTCAATGTCTTAATGAGTTCAAACACAGAACATTCAATGGGTTTCCATTATCAAACACATGCTTTGCTGATAAGAGCTGGTGACTGATCTCTGTTGGTACAGGGTCAATTAATGAACTGGTACTTGTTTGGGAGAAAGGATTTGTTAAGACATGATCTGGTTGTCTCTTGCCAACTTCCTTAATCACAATCAATTGGCTACAGGGGAAGGAGGCACTGCATGTACTCATCCTGAATGTTGCAGGTTTCATAATGCTTAGCCCACTGAGGTACCATGCAGTCAGCAAGTACTGTGTTATAAACATTGTCCACTGCTTTCCAAGCAGACAATCTTTCCACTTGAACCTGCTGGTGGTCCTTCATTGCAGCACATTCAAAGACACATTTTCTATTGCTATAACCAATATCAGATATTATGAAATGGGATTTTATTTTGACAAAGTTTCAGTGTTTGTTTTTCTCCTTTCCAATGGATTTAATTTTTATAATACATAGTACCCTTCTCAGTTGGTGTACATGTTTGGTTAACTAGTATTCTGCCTTCTATACTGACAGCCATTAAAAACGCAATTTGACATTCATACTGTCTTTTTACTCACACAAATGTCAACATATATATATATGTAACTGGCAGGTATGTTTTAAGTGAACATCTGTGGATAATTTCACCTTAAAATGTTCAGTCAACAACATCAGTAATGCAACAACGACATCAAACAAAGGAAGGGTCACTGGCAGTCAATATCTTGTGTCCACCATGCGCTGCAAGACATGCTCGCAGTCTCCGGGCATTGAAAGACACAAATCAGGAACAGCTGTGGGATGGTCTGCCAGTGATGTTGAAGGACCTGTGTCAGTTCAGCAACTGTCCTTGGTGGCACAAGTTGATTTCGAACTCGCCTCCAAGTTCTTCCCACAGACCCTTGATTGGGTTCATGTCTGGGGACAATGAAGGCCAGTCCATCACGCTAACATTCTCATTATTCAAAAAAGGAACAATTACATGTATTGTTAGTAATTGTTAGTAAACTTCCCTCTGGATTATGGTTGCCTTAATTCAGTGGTTCCCACAGTCACATACAGAAAATAAAATGAAAAAATTTAACCGTAAGTCATAGCTATCCCTAGTGGTATGCTTTAGCTCTTAACTCCAAGAGTTACCTCCCTTGACATGACATCATCCTATTGTCTGTTTGAAAACTTCACAATTCTTTCCCAAAATATAACTTTTAGAGGATAAGGTGGGGAAGGTCAGGCGGGACATAACTCCCATAATCCAGAGGTAAGTTTACTAACAATTACTAACAATACGTGTAATTGTTTCTAATTATAGCGTAAACCTTCCCTCTGGATTATGGTTGCCTGAATCCCACATAAGGATGGTGGCCTATCCTTAGAAGTATAATTCTCTACATACCACTAATAAATATTCCTGAGAACATCCCAGACCTTCTAGGATAACTATGACTTAGGAATATCTAACTCCCTATTAACTCGTAGAGTTGTTTTAAATGTGAAGGAAGATCAACATCAATCATAAGGTGAGCAGTCTCTTTCCTTCCTGACTAAGTATTTACAATCAATAATTCATCCAATATTGGCTTTACAGCTTCTTTGAAGACTTATCGTTACTTTTACATCACTTCTGGATAGGGCTGCGCAATATAACCAGTTTACCATGTTTTTACCGGTTCAGACATGAAAACGATACGTACTGCGATAAGCTGATCGAAAACCAGTATTTTGACATGCATTCGGAAAACTGCGTAACACTCGGAAAACTGCGGATATTTCCGTTTTTTTTATTGTTCTTTTCCCTGTTTCATTAGTGCCAAATGTTACTTACATTTTTATTTTGTCATGATTAAAAGTTTTTATTAAAGGTTAATCAATCATAGTGATTTTGTTGTGTTTTTGCTTTATAATTAAGCATTAACTCGATTATAAATAGTTTTTGTTAAAAAAATAATTCTTGCAATATATTGCAATACATATCGCAATATATGCTTCCGCATCACAATTTATCGCAATATGAAAATTTTATGCAATACCCACCCCTACTTCTGGATATCTGACGTCACTTCCGGTTCAAGTCTGGAACCCGCTTCCAGTCTATGACATCACTTCTGATCTATGATGTCACTTCCGGTCTATGACGTCACTTCCGATACCTTAGTTGACCCCATGGACGTCATTTCCAGGTCTGAGACACTTCTGGCTGTTTATTTGACCAAAACTTCATAATAGCGGAACGATAGAAAGAGACTAATCCCCTAATAACTGTACCACACAATAGTGCTCGGTTAGTTATTAAGGGATATACAAAACGTTCCCTACCTGAGTCTTCTCATTATTTATCTTTCCTTCCTTGATGTGAGTCACACTTGAAGACCGGGTGCCCGATATTTGGTCCCTCAACCAGATAAACTACAGACCACACCCCCACCCCACCCCAAAATAGGGGCACTAGGCGGAGGAAAGGTGCTGTGCCACTACTAAAGGACCCAGGGACTTAAGGCCCTCCATAGAAGAGGCTACATCTCTCAGATAGAAATTAATAAAAGTATTCTGAGATTTCCATTGACAGCTCATAACTACTTTCTCAACTGAAACTGAGCCCCATGCCGCTAATGAAGAAGCTAAAGCCCTAATCTTGTGAGGGGAAAACTTAATGGAAACTGTCTCTTGATCTAACCCCCGATAGGCAAAGGCAATAGTCTTTCTGAGCCAGGAAGCAATCGTGTTCTTGGAGACCTCTGAATCTACATTCATTTTGCATGAAAGGAAAAGACAACTACAACTTCGTCTAAAACTAGATGTGCGTTGTAGGTACCATCTAAGAGCTCGAATTGGACATAGTAATCTTGATCTGTCAGATCTTGAAGCAGTGGCTGGCAGAGCTGGTATCATATGAGATCTGTGTCCCAGTGGACCTGATGCATCGGTCTGATTCTTAGCCGCGAACACCGGTACCATCCTACAAGACATTGACTTATATCCTTCCGCAAAGACAATGGATTTCACGTCAATCGCATGCAGCTCCGAAACTCTTGACGCAGTTGCAAAAGCCATTAGGAATGCCGTCTTGAAGCTCAAATATTTCAAAGTGGTATCTTGCATAGGTTCAAAAGGATATTTCTGTAGAGCTTGTAAAACTAAACAAAGGTCCCCTTTAGGAAATCTTGATGGGGAAGTCCTTAATCTTGAACAATCTGATAAGTTTATGTGAGGAGCAAACCGATCCCACTGACAGTGCCTGTAGATCCCAAACTGACGCAATCACAGATCTGTAGCCTTCGATTGTATTGTGTTTCAGTTTCTTTACCGACCTGAGGTAGAACAAGAAGTCCGCTATAACAGGGGTTGGTGACTGGAAGACTGAGGAGTCGCGGCTCTCTTCTCCACTGGGTGAAGACATTCCACTTGGCATCACAAAGGGCTGCTGTTGATGGTCTTAATAGATTCGGAGATAGCCATAGTAGTGTGTTCGTTAAACCCCTGTTCTTTGAGGGAACTGCAGATAGCCTCCAAACGTGAAGTGAAAGGAGACTTACATTCTTGTGGAATGTGTTTGACTTGGGTTGACTGAGAAGATTCTTCCACAGAGGTAGTCGAAGCGGTTTGTCTGTCACAAGATGAAGCAGATCTGTGAACCACGCCCTGGCTGGCCAAGCTGGAGCTACAAGGTATACAACACAATTGTAAGTTGGAATGGAGGGAATGCGTTAGCTATGAGATTGTCCCACGATATTGATAGGGCATCTACTGCCCTGGGTCTGGAACAGGGCTCACAAAAATCGGAAGTCTGTTGTTCCTTGATGTTGCAAATAGATCTATGGACGGCATCTCCCA